TTATTCCTTCAGTAGCTCATCAATTGACACTTTTTCCCATAAATTTTGAAAATTTGAAACTTTTTTGACTCGTCTTTTCAACTTGCAAAGTGCAACAATAGCTGCAGTTGTATATATCTTCAGTTCCATTTAATTGATAGAAATTACCACTCAAACGTTAAGTACTGAGTACTGTTTAAAGTAGGAAATATTACTGAAAGATCAATAGAAAGAAAATAACAACCACATTTAAGCACAAGGATCATAGATTCAAGCCAATTTTGAAGACCTTGGTATTGTTTGTTTCAAGGTAACTTTTCTGACTGATCAAATATTACCTCAATCTAGATATTACATTATCAATATGATAATCATCTCTCTTTTTATGTTTGATTTTGTAACTCACCTCTACTGCAGCATCCTCAGAAACTGCTGGTTTTGATGAGGGAGATTCATAAGGGTTAAACATGCCACTGTATACAAGCTTGAAATAAAAAAAAACCCAAGAAAATAGATGATTTCCATTAAATATACTGCTACTGTCAGTCAATATCAACAATTCATTCTCACCTCAAATGCATTTACTATTTCAATTTAAAAGGCAATCACAGAGTAACATCTTTGAATAACTCTGAAGTTCAAAGGTAGATCACTGTTTATTTGGAGTTTTATATAAAAATAATCAATAGCAATTTGGGAATAACAGCCCAGTTATTTGTTTCAAATAAATTTTTTTTCCTTTAAATTGAATAGTCCTCAGCCATCTACAAAAGGCTGAAAGATCATAAACATTAGCTTGTTAAGTCCTTTACACTTAGATTTTCACTACCTTCTCAAAAACACAAAGAAATAACCACACACAAGTACACAAAGTGTATCTACCCATGTGACTTGCAGCCAAATTTTTCTTGACTTGAAAGAAAGGATTTGTTTTGATCATATCACCAATGATCTAAGGGTCAATTCTCTTTACTACCTGCCAAATGTACATTTCTTATAATGCTAGTTACATGAATTTGGTGTTAAAAAAAAAAACGATATCCTCATCTTGATATTTCTCATTATCTCAGGACCATTCAAGTTTTTCCATGTACCGATGTAGTAAAGAGAAACAATATATTAATCATGTGAAAGGTTTGAAAAGAAATCATCCCCTTCAGGACAAGTTACTTCACCAACATGACAAAATATGCATTGGTCGATTGATATAACTTCACATGAAATTGTTATCTTCTGCCATGATTACAAGGGTGTGAAGAATCTGGACTCTTCTTCATGGTATTTTGGAAAGTTATATTGAAGCAAGAAGACTTTTTCCCAGTGACAAGGTGTCTCTCATTTGATTAACTGTCCAGCATTCTCCCAGCCCCTATCCCCCCCCCCCTACCCGCCACCTTGTGGTTACATGATGCAATGTTACTTTGGAAAATGCCCTCTTTTACTTTCATAGTATAATTTTAAAAATTCATGCAAATATAAAAACGCCACAACCACTATTACAAACTCTCATATAAACACAGCTTTTGAAAGTGAAAGCGTGCATGGTTTCAATTTGAACTCTATATCATGTACAGTGGTACATAAACAACCTAACCCTCCCCTCCCACAAAATGGATGCTCGTAACCGAATCTCGCGTAAGAGGCAGGTGATCCTCAAAGCAGAAAGAAGCTGCAGTTATGCAGACAAATACGCGATTTAGAATCTCCGTCTAGAAACTTCAAAAAAATACTCACGTATAATAGAGAACCTCCAAGCAATCCGATTCCAACAATCAACATCCCATTATCACCCATAAATCCACCGGCTGAGCTCTGACTACTGCCTGATGCAGGCCGAGTGAACACTCGATTGACTGCAACATTGGGTCTTTTTTCGAAAGAACTGTACAGTCGAAACCCGGCCCGGCCTGGAGAACTCAATGCTGGTCTAACCCGACTCAGGCAAGGCCGGAAAAATCTGCCACAAGTCACTAGAGACATTATACGATCGTAGCATGTGTAAAGGACATTCCCCTACTGAGTGTGCGTTGTTGAAGTGAGACCGCTGTTCACTGTTTAAAGGGACTGAACTATGATATTGCTTCCTCACTGCACAAACTTATCATTCGGCACTGTCTGATCTAGTTAATTACCACAATAAGGGGTCATTAACTATAAAAATTATGTGAGATTAATTGGGAAAAAAATTGTACCAATTTCTGGCTGCCGGACATAGACACACCAAACACGCTGTTAAAATATCTTGACTAAAGCGGTTACTGATGTTGTGAAACTTAAATTTTGTAAGGTTACAATGAGCAAAAATATTTCCACATGGTTAACATTTTCAAAAAAGATTGCACAATAATAGGAAAAGGAAACAACACCAGAGCGGATCTCAACAGAGTGAGCTGATTGCCTGCTTTTGAGGTGCCAGTAGACTAAAAAAAAGTAAAAATTTTTTTTGATTGGGGTTGTTCAGTTGTGAGGCCCTTGTTCAATGTACTTGTGTTAGTATGCCGCATATCAACCGGCATAAAACAAATTATTTCACAAAATGTCCCCAGAAAACAAACATTTGAAGCTACGTAACTAGGAAAAAAACACATCTAGCATATATTTTTTCGGAGAGTTGAACTCTCTCAAACAAAACATTTTCAGATTCAGAAAAGGAAGAAATGTTTCTTTATTTATCTACAATTTGGCTAAGTGTATGAAACTTCCCTTGATTTTAACACAACTTGTCATTATTTTAATTTTGAAAGAGTATATCAATAATTTTATAGGCCCAGACTTAAAATGAACAGGTTCATGCGGTTAAAGGGAAAAGATTGAAACAAAGATTTCATAACCAGTCAAATTTATTGTACAACATTTAAGTTACATAATCAAGTTAGAAGGAAATCAAAATTTTCTCACAATCATTATTTTATAAATTAATTCAGTGAAAACTCAAACCTTACACTTAATTCAACAACTGTTACTAGTAACACAGTGTCATTGTGGGTTAATATGTAACTTTCTACACTTAATCTTTGGCACACCTCTGTAAATTGTAAATCTGGAAACTTTGTCTCAAAATGAGAGTTCTGTGAATTACATCCTTATTATCTAATTACTCAAACTTGCTGATTGTTAATGCTAACTAACAATTTATTTATCAGTACATTAGATAAGAGATATAATGAATGAGGTAAAGCTAACATCAATTGATGTTAGCACAGTGTTATAGCAGCAACATCCGTAGCTCTTCTTGATCAGTATCTGCCCTTCTTACTCATTTTCCTTCAACTGAAAACAAAAATTTCAATGATTATTCAAAATATTTATAAAAATAATATTTTTATATACAATTATGCACTTAATGCATTAGAAACAAATTAGTTGTTTGTTTTGTTCACAACTGAGTAAAGATACCTTCCATATTTTTTTTTTTATAAAAACTGGTAAAATTAATCTAATAAACAAATAATAATTATTTTTTATAGCTAGTGAACAATTGTCCCAAGTTGGGAAAAACAGTAGTGGAGCTCTTCAAAACCTGACATGGCTTGTGGGCTGATATAATATCAGTATTAGCCCAACAAACTTAGAAAAAACAAGCTAATATCATACCTCAAAATAATATATAAATTATTAATTACCTTAGCTTGTTCATCTGCAGTCAGAACTGAGCTGAATGCACCTTCCTTCCATGCCTATGCAAATGTTAAATAGAGATTGTTAGGGCTGCTTTTAACGATTTTAATTTTTTCCTACTTATTCGTGTTGCCTTTTTTTGGCGTTACACACGATGGCCTGCCACACGGCCCCTCCCTTCCCGATACCCCGTCCCCACCCTCGTACACTCCCCTTTCTCCTCCTTTTCTATTTGAAAATAAACAAAACAGAACAGAAGAGAAACGGAAAGATAGCCAGAATCACTGCGAACCTTGACCTGCTCTACCGAATTAAACAATAAGGTTAGAATGCTTATCATTTCAACGGTAGGGATTACATCTCTTAAGGTTTCGACCAAGCGACGCCTCATGCGCTAAACTGTCAAAACAAAGTCAGATGATTTGCATACATTAAGCCTTGTAAACACGCTAGGATATGTGTTTTTCGCCACATATAACTGAAAGATCTTCGCTTGTTGGATAGTGTCACAATTATTTGTTTTTATTTATGATATGGCTGTAAATAAGTTGAATGTCGAACAAAATTTTCGTCGATCTGATCTCGATATCGACAACACACACGCATGCTGAAAATCATGTCTTGACTACATCACACAGCTGCCTCACAATAACCTCGATTTTCCGATATTGCACATTCCCTTTTTTTATCAGAAAAGATCATTTTCATTTATACGCTTTTCTGTCGGTACGATCTATTTTAACAGGCAAGATGCTTCTCTGAGTAAAAGTTTCATTTAGGGCACAAATACAAGTCTGCTTTCCCTTTCACTTTTAACCTTTGAATGCGCGCATAAAATATTCTTCCGAAATTAAGCTTGAAAATCGTTTTCTTTCTTACCCATACACTAGCAGCTGTGAAAAGACCCAGTCCCAAGACAAGCATGCCCATTTCATCTTGAGTGGCTGGTCTCTTTTCTTGTCTTATGTGCGAGCTTCGCTCACCAAGCCTTCTTCCAAGGAACTGTCGAGAACCTCCAAAACTAAAAGCGCGAGCAACCCTTGAAAATGCTTGGAACGACATCGTACTTAAAAAAACTTTTGAAGATGAGTAGTATTCAACACTCCAAGGTGTGAAATATGATAAAATTTGGCTGCAAAAAGAACGCACTGAAGCTGTATCGCGTTGGATCGCGTCTGAATATTAAAGTAAACAAGAAACTGTCTGTGTTCAGTGGGCGGGGAAGTACGACGTCACGTCATATTCGGTTATCACGCACGAGCAAACATAAAGCTCTGAACTTTTGCTCTCCTTCTGAAAGAAAGCTCAACGTGCAAAAATAATAATGAATTTATGATTCCAGTTCTTTTAATCACTTTCTCGATCATTTTAATCAAAAAGGAAACTTCGTCCTGGCTGAAACGGAACTTGCCGTGACTCTTACAAAATTAATTAACTTCGTTACATAAGCATCAAATTAAGAAATGTCACGCAAGAAGTTGTTTACGACATTTTTTCCATGGGATATATAAGACAAATTTTGCATGAAATATAACATACATTATGAAAATGTGATTCATAGGAAGAATGATTGTCTTCTAGCATTTCCTCTGGGAGTCTTGTTGCCATCTCAATGGGATTTTTAATAAGAAGACATGTCACTACCTTTATTTCTTTTCCTAGAGCTTAGGTGTTAGGAGAAGGATAAAATTTAAGGCACTTTACGTCTTTTTCAACACATTAACAGGGCAAACAAACAAAGGACATCCACAAGTTTCCAAAATTAATTTTAATTTTATCATTTCGACACTGAGCAACTTGTCTCCATGAATGTCTGCATTCCTGTTACCTGCACCAAACAATATCCTTATTTTTCACCAGGAAAATATGCCGCTGCCATAGGAAACTGAAAGATTCCTCTTCAGGGATTTGTTTTAATGCTGTCATAGAAGGCTGATTTCAAAAAGTTAACTACAGCAAAAATCTGTTGAGTCTTGAAATTCTTCTGGCAACAAAACCAAAATCTTTTCAGTCCTGTGGTATATTAAGGTATCTTGCAAAAAAAAAAAAGTTGTCTATAGTTCCACCTTGGCTGCAGCTGTTAGCTGTTAGGATGGCCTGGCACTACTTTAGTTTTCTTCCTTAAATTTCATATTCCTTGTCTAATTTCCATTTTTGGTAACCCTAGAAGAAACGAATAACACAAATGTAGTACTTTTCAATTTATCATTACACAAACAAGAGAATTATAAGTAATTTTCTCATTTTATTGATAAGCAGTTTGAGAAACAAGGTAGCATGAAGGTACTGTGAAGGAATCTGAGGATTGTGCTAATGTTTTTGTCAATGCAGGGGTGTGTACTTGGCATTCTGTTCCAATCACTACCATTACTGCATCAAGAATATTATTAAGTACAGCGAGGTATTTTGTATTTAAGACATTTATCATAAATTGTTGTAACTTCAAACTCACAATGCCAACTAAACCACAAATGATAGTTGATATTCCAACCACAATCATGTTTGTGGAGTAGTTTGGTCCTTTGCGCTGAGACCAGTAGTTTCTTCTTAGAATGGACAGAGTTGGGTGAGGTGTCACTGCTCTTTTGACAAGGTGATACATTTCTTGTGTTTAACTCTGCCTAAGTTAAAACATATATTTGACACTGCTTTCAGGACAGAAATACTGTTGTTGTTAAAGAGAAAACTAATGACTCAATAATACGTATAAAACCGTGACTTTATCATGTGTACTGTACATCACTGTGCATGCTTTTATTGAGAGACATTGTAGGAAAACTCAGTGTAACAAGAATATGTCAACAGCCAGGGAGGTGCGTGCAGGAAAATGTCATTCATTGCCTCATTTTCGGAGAGAAAAATGAACTTTTTCTATGCACTAGTTTGTATTATGTTAACATAATTTTAATGCAGCTGCTCCTCCTGTAATGTCAAGTTTCAAGGATGGGATTGTCAGATTAACCTGAAAAATGCTTTTACTTGACTGTCTCAGATAAAGTTTCACCAAATTCATGATTTGTGTTATCTTTAAAACATTAATTTCAAAAATATGCATCGCAATGGCACTTATAAATCTAAGAGCAACAATCTAAATTATTTTTTCCTCTGAGATTCCAAAATAATCTTTTCAGACGGCGGTGCCTAATTGAGTAATTACGACATATCTTCATTCTAGTGGAATGACAAGCAACGAATTTAACGAGAACAGACTTGTTGGTAACCTTATATGCAGTGTAAGCCAAAACCGTGTTGGTGAGAAATTCATGAACTGATTAAAATGAAACAATAGAACAGTCTCTCCTTCTCAAATGCATGCTTTGCGTCCCATGTGTGTAAAGCCCCGTTCGCAATCACATTTGGTACAGGAAAACGATAAACTTAAAAACGTCTACAATGTAAAGCGAAACGCTCTAGGGGTATTCGTAAGTAATCATGGAAAACAGCTGTACGTTTCTCGACTTTGGTTACAGACTGCTGCTTTCGCAATCAGGTTATCTTCATTAATTATACAAATAAAATCTTAAGGTTCTCTTCATTAATTATACAAATAAAATCTTAAAAATGTTAAAATCTGTAAAAGGATATTGAAGGTCATAGGTATAACGTACCTTATAAAAGTATTTCTCACTACTCATCCGCCATGACACTTTATACCCAGTCCATGACGGTTATTCACCACAGGAAAGTCATTATGCACAGGCAGACCAGGCTCTTATGTTTGAGTTCATCTATGAGGCAGTTGTAGAGATCGATTTAATCATATATAGACTCACAGCTTCCACAGATTTCGGAAACACTCTATTCACTGAAACTTGGGAAAATATTTGTCTTTTCGACCCACCATTCTCAGTTGAGGTCTCAGTGACATTTCAAATGATTTTCTGCCATAGCTAATGCTAGTTTCAACCACAAAGGAGCAATTTACCTCGACCAGGGTTAAAGAGGGTATTTTTTTCACAAATGTAACGACAAGTATCAATTCTGTATTGTTCTGATATCGTTTTAATCGATTTCATTCATAATCGCTATTTATGATTTAATAGAATACATGATTAATATGTTCTGTGCTGCCAAACTAACAATACGATAAACACAAGGTTGTATTTCGACAAGAGAGAATGATCTGACGGGAGCCATCCCCCGAGAACTTCAATTTCCTTTTTCTGTCTCTGCTAACCATTCCTCAACCTCTAATATATATATAATCGGTGGTAACGTTGTGGTACGTGAAGTCAACTGAGTTTACGGTGTGCAGCGAAGTTTGAAAATAAATTTAAGAAATTCACCAGGTGCGGAATGGATAGCTCGTCTTGGATCACCCTCTCTTGCTATAAAATCACACTTTCGTCCCTGAGCACTCTTAATATGTGAAATAGATGAGAAAACACGCAAAGACTAGCACCCGTGACGTTAAGTTTAAATTACGTGACATATTCCGAAACGTGATTACTATTGGATAGTCAAGGTCACGCGATTCAGAATAAATTGGACATTTGCTAAAATACTGAAAATTTAAGATTTCTTTAAAGTTGACCTCTTTTGGAGGATCCCTTTCTCGTTCCCAGTCTTTGTCCGAGCACTGAGGTGAGTTTAGAAGAAACATATGTTTGTTTGACTCATCAAACCACATGCAGCTGATATTTTTAGTTTTGATTTCTTGAACTAAGAAAAAATCTCCCATTTTCCAGGCCTTTCCGATACAAGAATAAACAATATCAGACTTCTGACAGTCTGGATCATACTTCACTTCAAATGAAAGCGTATTTTTACACGCAAACTCAACACGTGACAAAGATCCATTGCATTCGACTTGATCACTGTTAACCGACTTGAAATGGTAAACTCCTTTGCCGCGGGATGGAAGAAAACAGCGGGTTTTTCTCAGTGATGATTGGCGCCTTATTATGATTTTGTCAATATTGCGACCCCAAACAGGATAAGGATCTCTTATGTAGGGAAGCCAGCTTGAGCAAAACAGTCGTAGTACATGATTTAAGTAATAATACACTAAAGAATTATTGTTAACACCATCCGTGATTATCAGCTGACTTTGAGAAAGCCTGTATACTAACACATCACTTCCGGCGATTTCTGTGACACCTAAGCGAGTTAATCTGGGATAACATCCATTGGTAAAGTTTGACACAAGTATATAATCATCGATAAAGAATTTTGACCGTCCCGATCCAGGCCACTTACCGGTAACTAGTGAACTGCATTCGTGGGGAGCCTGGTGCTGAAAAATATGCCTCTGTTTACAATAGAAGTTTCCATATGGGGGAATATTAATTGATGTCTCGTTTATGATAACGTTACGTAAACCATTATGATCGGATATTTCTTTCCAAATCCCACGAATTTTTTGGGGGAAGTTACACTCCCTTTTAGTGACCTCAGAAAGAGGTCTGTTCGTTTCTCCGACATCAACTCTTCGTCTTAAGTGCATGGTTAATGATTTTACTCCGTCCGACGTATTCCTCGTGCAAATCGGCCCATCATAAAGCTGCAAAACAACGTTATCTTCGTTCTCGACTTTTCGAAATCTAACACAGAAAAATTCTGATTTGAGAAATGTAAATGTATTTCTCGCTGCAAAATTTCGTCTCTTGGCAATAAAGTATGTAAAATTCCCATCCCTCCATGGTGCACTGAAGCAAGACAAAGCCAGATTGAAAGCGAAAGGGCTATTCAAATGACGCTCGTTCATTAAACAATCATGGTTTCTTGTTGAGTGGATCCGCAGGCCTTCTTTACCCATACAGTCAGATTCAAACGTTCCTATAATCGCAGCGTCTTTGTTAGGTAGGCATTGTTTTCCTATTAACTCATTATTGGCCTCAGTAATTTTAAATCCTCCCCTTAGCACAGCCGGACAATCCGGTACGTCCTCTAAAACACTTGAAAGCAAAGGACTTTCGTATACGAGCAGATCACTTTCATCACAAGCCAGGTGAGTGTGATTGGGTCTCCAAGGCGAATGTTCATATGTGATCACATTTCGCCCTCTTTTCCGGAATTTCATGCAAGAATAATACTTTACGTTCGAGCGAGTTTCATCCACCGAGTCATTGCGGAGGATAATGAAAACATGAGGGGCAAGCTTTCTCCAACAGTAAAATACCGAGCTGGTTCTTGAAGAATGCGAGTCTTCCAGTATCTCAATTTTCCCTGTATTAAACACCCATGTGTTCTCTCCTTTCACTTTGTTATTTCTGGATCCATTAAAAGGTTCAGTTCTGTCGTAAGGAAATCCATTTCCTCGTGACCACTGGCGCCATTTTCTGTTTGACAATTTTGGACCTGAGTATTGCAAAAATCCCGGAAAAGAACATTGTGGTTTCTCTTCAGGTAGACCTTGAACACCGACACAGATGTTTGAATTCGAAAAGCTTAAAACAACTCCTAGACAGAGGAACAGATAATTTTGCTGAAGGGAAGCCATTTAAAAACACATTGGGAAAGAAGCCGAGCAGAACGCAATGCTATTTATGTTAATCGCATACATGATCATTACCCCTTATCGATAACCTACTGATAGCGACCAACCACTGAGATGGCGGTGCTTTCAGTAATGAGCTGCTTGAAGTGATTCTGAGCGTAATCAATCTAACTATTTTTTACACTGAACAACAAAGCCGCCCAAAGACAACAGCAGTGCGCGGCCGTCAGACTCCCTATCGTGGTCAACCAGCCGGTTTTTAAACTTTAATTTTGATGCATAGTCTTCAAAAGTAATTAGATTTTTACAAAAAAGCTATAATTCTACTGCAACCTGGTTGAGAGCCTTTCACTGCTACCTCAGCATGAAACGTAAACTAAAGTTAATTGAAAATTTTTGCTTTCTTTTTTCAGTTCCGGATCGAAAGTCAATGAGCATTGTGCATTGCATAATTCAACTTTTCAGTAAAAACTAAATGACAAACGCAAGTTTAGCAACTCGCCAACGTTCAAACATGTTTTATATTTCTGTTCGCTTACTACAGATCGATGGTAGCAAATACGATTAATTTTGGAATACAAGAGCGCTGAATAGGGCTTGTAATGAAGGTTAATTCTGCAGTAGGAATTGGAGGAAAAATTTAGGACTTGCGCCAGCATCTGGTTTAGACAGGATGTTTCATTGTTAAGGGGTTTAGTTAATAAGTTTAGAATAAGTGGAAATGTTGGGGAAACGTTTTGTGCAAGTTACATCCTACGCAACAGTTTATTAGCAGTCTTAGATTTGCTTCTACTTGTCTATAGTTTTGTATTTTGCCCCTTCATTACTGATATCGCACTCATCTTCGTTCGGCGTTATGGTTTACACATTGGCTATGAAGTGCTGTCATTAAAAATCTCACCAAAAGAAATAACATTTAATCTCAAGTACGATTTTTTTCAGGTTTAATATTCCCGAATATTGTGCTTTTCATTGAACAGAATGTGTTATGTACAGCTCTGTATTACACTAACTGCCTGTTGAACATAACCAGCGTTTAGCACATCAACCCGCGATGTTTCTCATCTTCCTGTAACATCTTCTCTCCCAGTTGGCGACAAAGATTGGAAAAACTCCTCACGATCTTCCATCTGGCACAATACCCGTCACCAACCTTTTCGTAACAGTTGATAAACTTTTGCACATTATGGCACATGTTCGCGTCGGAACGGTTTTCCAAGAAGTGCGCCACACATATATTGTGGACAACCTTCGCACCTAACGGGCAGATATCAAAACCTGCGAAAAAATAAAGTGATTGAAGGTGTTTTTGACCGTCCCTTCTCAGCCACTGGAAATGAGCAAAAGAGTGGACGCGCGAAAAACGGGGAGGGGGTCTGGTGAAGCAATTACGAAAAGTTTCAGTTTTTCAAAATCACAGGGGCTTAAGCTTATATGTAATACTTACCGATGTAGTCTGTCCTGTTCCTTGCTGTCGAATAAACGGAAGATGGAAGTGAATTACGTAACAGTTAAAAAATGTCGCTTCAGAATTTTATTGATTCAGTAAGAAGGGAATTCATTAGTGAAGTAGTTGGTATTTAGGTGTCTTGACGTCAATGATAACAATAACAGTGATTTGGGGAAAAACGTGGACAAGAAAGAAAAGATGATTATATCGAAGGTAGCTTATTAAAGCTGTTTAAGGCTGCATTCAAGAGTTGTTGTTGTTTTGTTGTTTTGTTGTATTGTTGTTTTATTGTTGTTGTTGTTGACGGTGGTGATGATAATGACTGAGATGTCACAGTGATTGTCAATGGAATACCTGTTACGTTGAAAAATAAAATAAAATAAAAAGCGGAACGGGGTAATCTTTGATGAAAAAGACCTTGCCTCCTTGTTAAGAAATCTGCGATGGACTTTTAGAAGAGCGGCATTTTCTCTTACCATTAAGTACTCGTTCAAGGTCATGGTAATTATGGTGGGGGCATACACCACACTTTTTGTCCATTATACCATGTTCCAAGACAACATAGCTGTAATTCTGAAGCCACGAGCCACCGATGCAGCGTCCAAGAGAACCATCCAAACAGTTCATAAACACCTGGCGAGATAGTTCACAAAGATGACACAAACGACTAATGTTTGGTCAACCTAATCTCCTGAACGCCCTGAGGCTTTCCTTCCGGCACATACCTACCCCCACTTTCCCTTCGATCGTGGGTTTGTTAGGTGCCTGTGTTAAACGAAATATGTTACTGGGTTGAATATCTAAATAGGGGAGGCAATGGTGAACTTCTCCTTCCTCGTCTGGTAAGCTCGGAGGCTTTTGATTTATTGCAATCAACCATATGACGCCCTCCCCTCCCCTCCCCTCCCCTCCCCTCCCCGTGAAGAGACCGTGGGTATGAGGTAAGAGTTGAGCCAAAGAAGACATTTACTAGTATTACTAGTATTTATATACACGGGTAATTATATACACTAGTACTGACCTGTAGAGCTGTGCAGTAAACATTTCTCATTCCTCTCTCTCGTTTTCCGGCCGTAGCATTCATGAACACCTGTTTGAACTCACCGTTGCATCTTTTGATGTTGTCGTATTCACACTGTTTTGTCGTGTCTTCAACGGGCAGGTCACAGACACAGCTATAAATCAAGAAGAAGAAGACCCCGGCGTAGAGGAACAGGGTTGGTGACGTCATGGCGAGTAAGAGTCGATGAAGGCCTCTAGAATTACAGAAGAAAAAGAAAGCTTATTATCAGGAAACATGACTGGGGTGAAGACCACAAAGAGTTAAGATCATGGTTATAAACAAACATCATCATCTCAATTCTGATTGAATAAAAGAGGTAAGTTTCTAAAGAAACTGTGGTGCTGCGTCGGTGGGAGAGTATAACAGGTTAATTTGGTATTATCAACTGAGTTGATGACGTAGATTGGCCACCGTGAAGAGTTTCAGAGCTGACGTTTCGAGCGTCAGCTTTGAAACTCTTTACGATGACCAATTTACGTTATTAATGCCGTTGATATTATCAAATTACCTTGTTCAATTCTGATTAGCTAACTCCAGCTGGTGCCGCGCAATGTCGTCCAAACGTCATACCCGAAGACAATCGTTTTTATCATTCCACACAGTAGTGACTTTCATCCTTAAAATATGTCTTGACTTTGGTCGATGATACAGCTTAAGGGACCGTCATCATTTTTTTAGCGTGATTTCAGGCAAGCGCGGGTACGCACGCGGCAGGGCAACGAAGGCGTGAAGGGCGAGTCACGTGCACGAATGACGCCACGCATCTCTTCTTGCTGCTGTCTTATCCCTCGCCCTTTCCTCGCATTCAAGACGAACGTAGTCTCGATCGCTTGAAAAGACGCAAATGAAAAGATATGATAGAGCCCCTCTTTAGGCCACTTATTACATGCCCCTCTGCTTGATTCTCTTTAGGATGCTCAACCTCATTCAATTATTGTTGCTTCGTGCAAACTATTACGGTTTCCAAAAATTGTAAATTCATTGAATCTTCCTCGGCGTATTGTCCTGGTGTACCGGGTCGCTTTAATATCTTATTTCATTTTGTTACTATAACAAAGCTTACCATTACCTTATCAGTAGCCGATCTACTCGAACCCAGACTCCTACCTCCCAACTTCAATCTCCCTTCCTTTCCGCTGGCTTAAGGAACTACTTAAAATGTTGAATGAAAATGTTTTTTTTTTTTTTCAGAACACGTTATGCTCAAATTTCATTGATCTATCGGACGCAAAGACGATCTATTTATATTTCAATCCTGCAAACAGAGTTTCCAAGAATTAAGTCAGCTGATTCTCGCCAAACGAAAATTCTCTAGATTTGACTGAGATCTGATCTGGTGTTCGGTCCTGATACAAAGGTATTTTGTTACTACCTTTCACAATTTGTAATGAAATAAATTTCATTTGACCAGTGAATTGAAAATCAAATAAAGTAATAATTCCCGCGGGTGAGCTTCAACTTTAGCAAATACAGAAAAGAATACTAAGAAAAATTCAGGCTTCGACGGGATTCGAACCCATACTTTCCAGATTGAAGTCGAGTCATACCACCAACTAAGCTACTAAGCAGGAATTGTCTTAAGAGCAAGGGAAGACTACTTCAGAGATCCGATTACTTTTGGCAAACTCAATCAACCTACAATAATACTTACATTTATTTCCACTCGGCTTTGCGGCAAATATACAAACCTTAACACCGTGATTAAAACTTTCATTTTATAGTTCACTGATGCAATTACTGGGAATAAAGATGCGACAGAGTCTCCTTATCTATTGTCTGAGTCGAGACAAAACTGAATGGAAACAAAAGAAATTATTTGTGCTTGTGAGCGGATATCCTTCCCTATTCAGTCCAGTCCAAAGTTGTCTTCCAATTTAAGGTTTCTATTCTGTACTGATTTGGCGCGAATGTCGATTCCAATATTCCTTGTTATTGCCTAGTGTCGGTTTTAATGAAGAGATCAGGAAGCTAAATTTGAGACTGGTAAGTGCTGAGGCACGTAATAGAAGAACAAATATAACTTCGAAAAAATCATGTGAATAGATCCAAAAAAAAAAAAACAATCAAAAAATTGTCCTTAGAGAGAAGGAAGAGGATAACATTTCCATCTCAACAGACCCGAATTCTTTCCTACACGCTAATCTAGGTGGAAGTTTGGGTCTGGCCGTGGGATTTTGTTTCACAGATCCCGTTCGTTATCATTTGATGGATATTTTGTTAGATCTAACTCCTTATTTCAGCAAGTTTGCAACTGAATTACGAATGATTTAAAGTTGAATCCCGAGTTAAAAAATCAGAGGTCGAACTGAATAAATGGATTCTTTACAACGAGAGCCAACTGTATCAGGGATATTTTCACTATGCCTTTTTCTCGATAAATGCTGTATCCATGCAGGACTACATTACTTGAACTATAACAGTTAACTTTCAAATGAAGTATTTCAAATTGGGAATCCCACATCAAAAGTGACAATATTTATGTCTGATCATACACAATTGAACACTTAAGGGTCGATTAAAGATTCTTTCTTTCCTAAAATTTATTACTCTAACCATATCAACCCTTATGAATAAGAACTTCCAACACTTCCATTAATAAATCTAATTTCAAAATTCTCCTGTTAGACAAAGTACTCCATTTCATTCAATGTTGAGATGTCTCTTAATTTTCCTGAAGACTCCTCGAGTTAAATCACTGATATTTGACCAGGATTACAAAACATCTTTACTCCTTACAATGAGGTCTTTGGTTAGATCAAAAGCTATCAGTTAGAGAATTGAAAATTCACCCATTAGTTCAAGGGCGATTCTGGTCAATTCAAGAGGTTAAATGCTCTTACGAGTAGCATAAGTCGCCGCACGCTAATCATGTTTCAATTTGCAAAAATAATAATAATACAAATCAATTTTATCCTTCTCCCCAAGTTATTTTGTTGCCTGTAGTTAGCGTCTGGCTCCTGTGGGAAGAGGAGCTAGACTATTATTAGGCGAAATTTAGATTGAGTTAAATATTCTGTCTGCGACCTATTACATGTAAGGGTTGGCAGGTTCCTTGCTCGCCATTCACTGTGGTTTTATGAATTTCCATTTCAAATATTGACCAAATGACACAAGTGCTTTTGGGTCTATTGAGTTGAAGCGATTATCTTTTGGACGATGAAATTTTTTATCTCGTATTTGATAGAACACTAAGAACACGGAAGAAGAGTGTTGAAAATTAACGGTTCACAGTTTCACATGTGAAGGTGATTGAAAATTACATTTGTAAGTACTTGACAGACCGGACAGCAAACCAGTTAGCGCGCAGGAATCTGAATCGAAGGCCTGGGTTTCAGCCTTGGCCTCATCATTTTGTTATGTTCTTGAGGAAGACACGTAACTATGACATTGCCTCTCTCTGTACAAGAGTACGCCACAGTATTTAATATCCGTAGCAGGAAAAGTTCGCTGGTCTCCCTGTTCACTAATTCTTTTACTTTTACTCTAAATTTTCAGTTTGTCGTGTATCCCGCCTGGGTATCTGAACTAACATTTCAATCTTAGTAGCTGATCAACTTTACCAGTACTCTTGGGACCAATCAGCTATTCAAATAAAAGAAAAAAGAACAAGCCATTTTATTCAAAATTCTCGTCACAGATATAGAGGAAATTACAAGCAATATATCAAATTAATTACAATAAAACAGACGATATTTAAACATATATCTCAATGACTAAGACTGAATTTTTATCAGTCGGTCGGATTTAGGAGCAAATGTCCCTGAAAGAAAGACTACTGAGGAGGAAAGGTTCAGACCATTTTCGCTCAAGGTCTATCACTGAGCGAGAAACTAGAGGGACACGACTCCAAAAGATTCGCGAATAATCCAGAAGCTGCTTTTGAGGAGATGTTCATGCGATACAAGACTCAAACCTAAAAAGTTTCTTACGACAAACTGCACGCAAAGGTTAAGTGATTGCTTAGAAGGTTAGAAGAAAACATTTACAGTTTCCCGTTTTCATCTAAACAGCTCCTGAAAACAAAGGTCACACGGAACTGCGCTGCTTTTAAAGCTACGCTTTTACATAAACTTAAGCCCTAAGTCTGTCTTTGCCTTCACACGAAAACAGTATTGTCTTGGTTGATGGCGTGTTGCACTTTGATTCATCATTAAATATTGAACCAACATTTTATACACGTTACTGCCTGCAGTATCAATTCTCAGCGGCGATCTCCTGGATGTAGCTCGGAATCAGTTGACGTAATTCCTCTACGGTACAGTCCTCGGGCATCGGGAGTTTGGTTACGTGAGGAACTAGTATATGTGTTGGCAAAAGGGCCTCTCCTTCATCGGTGAGGTCCGTCTGAGTGAGAATAAAAAGGAAAAGCAAGCTGCTAAAACTGTATTCTTTTTTGACTCCCCTATAGCCTAGTGTCTCCACCTTTGTTTCCAGTCACACAACAGCAAGAAAGAGTACTTCTGAAAATGTTTCACACTTTTCTACTTCCCCAAACAGCCGATGATTACAAGGCATTTTAAAAGAATTCCAAAGACCACGAATGCAAAAGTTATGCCGCCAAACGATGAACATTCTGAGAACATAGAGTAAAATTTTCACAACGGGCGGAGAATATTCATAGCCTCAGCAAACAAATGGGTTGACAGACAAACAAAGGGTTTGCTCACCAGTTCCTTCAAGACAATCTTCAAGAAATTAGCGCACATCTTAGCCATGTCGTATTGACACAACCTGAAATAGCAAACAAGGCATCACAAGAACTATCAGCCCCAAATGCAGTGCGACATACTAAAAGCTCTGTTAAGTTACCGAGACTCCGTTAAGTTACTCCGTTAAGTTACCAGGACTTTCGAGAAATGGGCACCTGGGCACTAACAACAACCCCGTTAACAAGACCACTCATCACAGGCCAGAATAATTACGTATCAAAAGGTTGACCTATACAACGCCACGTGTTTCTTGAACAAACCATATACACAGCGGTTTTCACTCTGAATAAATGATATTGTACTTACATGTCTTTGGGTATGTCCGATGTTAAACTGTTGATCCTCGAACAAAGAGACGTGACTTCAGCATAGATGCCTTCCCAGTCATACTTAGTTGGCACAAAGTTCTCCTGAAGATGACAAACAAATATTTATTTGACATTTGCTCTAATAGCAAAT